TAATGATCTAATGTAGGCTTCTGAGCGTGTGCATGTGTGTGCATATATGCATGTTGGGATATATAATCCTGGGACCTTGTGTATTTTAAACAACTGGTTTACCACCGACTAACCATCTGCAGCCCCCCAATTTTGGAATTTTAATTTTGAAAAGTTGCAGTAGTTCAATGGTGGTGAAACCCTACAGACATGTTAACTAGAAAGCACCTTTTACCAGGTGGTGCCTAAAGGTTTTCATACACAGGACCTTCTTTTTTTTTTTGTCTTTTTTGAGACAGTCTATCTGTAGCCCCAGCTGGCCTGCAACTTGCTATGTTGACCAGGCTGGCCTCAAACTCACAGAGTCCGCCTGCCTCTGCCTCCTGAGTGCTGGGATTAAAGGCATGCGTGACCAATCCCGGCTCTCATACACTGGTATTCTAACTTCATTTATTTTTACATATATAAATAAATGAAGTTTATTCATTCTGTCTCACTATCTTGTTCTGTGTTGTGTTGTGTTTTCTTTTTGAGGCAGGGTCTCACTGTGTAGCCCTCACTATGTAGACCAGGCTGGCTTTGAACTCACAGAGATCTGTCTGCTTCTGCCTCTGCTGGTTAAAGGCCTACAACACCAGGAACCCGCTTAGTTTTTTGAAACAGAGTCTTGTGTAGTCCATACAGGCTTCAAACTTGCTATGTAGCCAAAGATGGCCTCCTGACTCTCTGCCTTTACTTCCCAAGGGCTGGAATTATAGGTGTGCACCACCAAGCCTGGCTCCACCATTGTTCTTGTGTATGGTTATTTCCCATTTAATCATTATTTAATAGGCCTTTTATTTGATTCAAGGAAATCAGATGGATCTAGTTTGCTGAGTATTGGTTATTTGACCTGTAACAGAACTGGTGTTTGTATATACGGAGGAGGTAAAGCATCTAAGGCTTAATAGTGTTTTTGGATCTACAGTGGGAAAGATATCTTTTCGCTTCGTGTGTTTGGGTCATATACCCGAAGTATCTTTGAACTGGCTTTTCTCTGACTAAATGGGTACTGTGGCATCTGTCAAATTACAGGAAAGACATCCAGGAGACAGCAAAAACTATAATGAATGTATCCGGCATGAGACTATAAGAGTTGCAGTCTGTGACATGATGGAAGGAAAGTGCCCCTGCCCTGAACCCCTACGGTATGTGTTGAGAGGGTCCTCTAGGTATTCATTCATTTTGGTGACTTAGTTTGCACCTGTAAGGGCCTTTGGGTCAGAAGTCATTGTTAAGAGAGTTAGAGAATGGGGCTAGAGAGGTGGTTCAGCAGTTAAGAGCACTAGCTACTCTTGCAGAGGACCTGGGTTCAGTTCTCAGCTAACAGCTGTCCATAATTCCAGTTCCAGGGAATCTAGCATCCTCTTATGACCTCCTTGGGCATTGCATGAAACAGGTACACTTATACACATGCAGGCATCATACACATAAGATAGTAAATAAAATATTTTTTAAAATTTTTTCAAAGAGTGGTAGAGAAGGAAAGATGGAGTTTTTAAATTTTTTTTTTTTTTAATTATTTGTATGTGGGAAAGAGTTGTGAAGATGCATTCAGTGCTGGAGTTACAGGTAGTTGTGAACTGCCTGGTATGGATGTTGGGAATTGAACTTGGGTCCTTTGGAAGAGCAATACATGGTCTGAACCACAGAGCCATCTCTCCAGCCCAAGATTTTTTTTTTTTTTTTTTTTTAATGCTTTGTTTTTAAACCTTCAGTGCTGGTGATAAAACCTGCAGATTTATGTGTGCTAGGCAAGCACTCTATCACCACCCTTTTACTATTATGAGTATTATTCTTGGATGTGTGTAAGTGCATCCATATTGTGCCGGGCCTGCAGGGACAGAAGAGGCCATCAGATCCCCTGGAACTGGAGTTATGGACAGTTGTTAGCTGCCATGTGGGTGCTGGGATTCAAACCTGGGTCTTCTGCAAGAACAGCCAATGCTCTTAACTGTTGAGCCATCTCTCTAGCCCCTAGCTCTACTTTTTTTTGAGACAGGATCTCACCATTTAGCTCTGGCTGGCCTGAAACTGGCTATATAGACCAGGCTGGCCTCAAAACTTAGCTCCACCTGCCTCTGCCTCCTGAATGCTGGGATAAAAGTGTGTGCTTCTGTGCCGGGTCACTTTTATTTTTTGAGACAGGGTTTCATACTGAACCTGCAGTTTACTGTTTCAGCTAGATGGGCTGGCTGGCAAGCCCCCAGGATCCTCCTGTCTCTTCCCTGGAATAGATGTGTGTCATATCCAGCTTTTACATGGATGCTGAGAATCTGAATTCAGGTTCTTAATGTTTGCATGGCGAGTACTTTACCCACTGAGCTTTCTCCCCAGGCCTCCTTAGTTTTGGACAGAATTTTATTTTTCAGCCTAGATCGGCCTGAAACTCCAGATTCTTCTGCCTCGGCCTCCTGAGTCCTGGAATTACAGACTTATACCTCTGTGCCTGGTCTGGTTGATGCTTGGTTTTTACTCTTGGCTCATGCTTTTAAAGAGCAAGTGGCTGTGGTTACCCAAGAAGTTGTCCAGAAGTTTCTCAGTTCTTTAAAACTACTAAGTCTGGGGCTGGAGAGATGGCTCAGCAGTTAAGAGAGCTGACTGCTCTTGCAGAAGACCTGGGTTCAATTCCCAGCACTCACATGGTGGCTACAAACCATCCTTAACTCCAGTTTCAGGGGAATCCAAAGCCGTCTTCTGACCTCTGTGCCATTGCATGACACGGGTACACTCACATACATGCAGGCAGTACACTCATACACATAAAGTAAAAATAATAAAATAAAATATTTTTAAAAACAAAACAAAAACTACTAAGTCTGATGAGAAAGGCAGTCCATGCCATTAGGAGCCCCTAGTTTGGTGAAGGCTTGGACATATTGACAGATAACTATTCTGCTGCCAAATAAGCACCCCATAATAAGCCCATTTCAGCTTTATTTCTGAGTGCTAAAACTCGAACAAAGTCAGCTTATTAAACTTACTAGGAGAGGGTTTTTTGAGGTAGTTGAGGTGGTCTTCCTGTAGGCCCAGCTGGCCTGGAACTCACAGATTCGCCTGCCTCTGCCTTCAAGGTGCTAGAATGAAAGGCATGCACCACCACACCCAGCTAATTTTTATTTTAATTATGTGTGCATAATGTGTGTGTATGTGTATGTGAGTACAGTGCCTGAGGAGTCCAGAAGAGGATGTCAGATCCCTTACACCAAGTGTTAAAAGCAGTTGTAATCTGCCCTACTGGAGTGGGAGTTAAAGGTGGTTGTGAGCTGCCTGGCATGAGTGCTGGGAACCAAACTTGAGTCATCTACAAGAACAGTATGTTCTTTGTTTGTTTTTGTTTTTTTGTCTTTTTGAGACAGGGTCTCCATGTAGCTCCAGCTGCCTGGAACTCGCTCTGTAGACCAGGCTGGCCTGGAACTCACAGAGATCCACCTGCCTCTGCCTCCCAAGTGCTGGAAATAAAGGCGTGCACTACCACACCTGGCATAGTATGCTCTTTTAACTGCAGAGCCATTTCTCCAGCCCAGTAGTTCTTAATGTGAGTACATACGTGTATGCATGTAGGTGGAGACCAGAGATCAATGTCATGTGTCTTCCTTTATTGCTCTTTACCATCTTTTGTTTTAAAGTTGTTTTAAATTAAAGGGTGGGAATGCATGCTGAGGTGCATGTGTGAAGGTCAGAGGAAGACTTTGTGGAGTTGGTTTTCTCCTTCCACCTTTACTGGCGTTCAAGGGATCAAACTCAGGTTTCCAGGGTGCAAGTGCCATCTCACTCTCACTGTGAACCTACAGCTCTCCAGTTAGGAGAGCATGCTCCAAGGATCCTCCTAGCTCTGCATCCCCAGTGCTAAGGTTGCAGACATGTGCCAACCACACTCTGCTTTTATGTGATGTGAATGGTGGGGATCCAAACTCGGATCCTCATGCTTGTACAGCAGACACTTAGCTGACTCTGCCATCTCCCAAATGCTGTAGGAGGATTTTGAATTTGGTTTGGGATTTGGGGTGGCCTATGAAGACAGTGGACATTGACCATGGGATGAATTGAGGTTGAAATTCAAGTGGTGAGTGTTACAGGCACTCTGATTTTGTGATTCCTAGATTATAAGGGAAGTCTTTTTGCTATGACAGTCATCTGTTCCTTTTTTCCATTTAAAGTTCTGTGTGAGAAACCAAATCTGGTCACTCTCACTCTTATTTAATTTGGCATTAAGATTAGAAAGTGGGCTGGTCTTGATGGCTCACACCTTTAATCCCAGCACTCTGGAGGCAGAGACAGGCGGATCTCTGTGAGTTCAAGGCCAGTCTGGTCTACATAGTGAGTTCTAGGTCAGCTGGGACTATAGGGAGACTGTCTCAAAAAGACCAAAACAAAACAAAAAAACATGAGGAAGTGAAGCCAGACATGGTATCATACACCTCGAATTCCAGTACTCAGGAAGCCAGAGGCAAGCAAATCTCTTGAGTGTTCAAGACCAGCCTAGTCTACATAGTGAGACCTTGTCTCAAAAAAAAGATTAGGAAGTAAAAGGGGGACCTGTTCCCTCATGTTTCTAACTTATCTGTTTGCTTTCCAGGGGAGTGATGGAAAAGTCCTTCCTGGAGTATTACGACTTCTATGAGGTGGCCTGCAAAGATCGCCTGCACCTTCAAGGCCAGACTATGCAGGTAATACAGCCTCTGCTACTAATTCTAGAAGCTTACTCAGACCAAGAAAAGTGCCCCCTTGCACAGCGGATATCCACAACTCATAGAATGTCACAACTAAAAAGATCCTGTGTCATTTGAGAAACTGAGGTTCAGAAAGACAACGGATTTACTTAAGATCATATGGAGTTGGTTCCTAGCTCATAGCATAGTAGTACTCAGAGGCAAGTAAGAATCATCTGCTCCTTAGGCTCCTCTTTTTTTGGGTGGGGGAGGCTCAAGACAGGGTCTCCCTGTAGCCCCAGCTGGCCCAGAACTCACTGTGCAGATCAGGCTGGTCTCAATCTCACAGAGATCTTCTTCCCAGGTGTTGGGATTAAAGGTTGCATTCATTACCACGCCTGGCTGTTCCTTTTTTTTTAAAACATTTTATTTTATTTTGGGGTTTTTTTTGGGTCTTTTTGAGACAGGGTCTCCCTGTAGCCCCAGCTGTCCTGGATTCACTATGGAGACCAGGCTGGCCTCGAACTCAAGAGATCCGCCTGCCTCTGCCTCCCGAGTGCTAGGATTAAAGGCGTACACCACCACACCCAGCTTATTTTATTAATTTTTTATATGTATTTTATTTTTTCATATGTATGAGTATATTGCCTGCATGTATGTAAGTATACCCATGATGTACACTGCCTGCAGAGGTCAAAAGAGGGTGTTGGATCCCCTGAACCTGGAGTTTTACAGAGTTGTTAGCTGCCATGTGGGTACTAGGAGCTGAACCCAGGTCCTCTGCAAGAATAGCCAGTGTTCTTAATCGCTAAGCCATTTCCCCAGTCCCTTCTTAAGTCTTCTCAACCCTTCCAAGAGTATCTAGCCTATTCAGAATCTTGAGGCTACTAAGAGTGACTGTTGGGCTGGGCTTTGGTGGTGCATGCCTTTAGTCCCAGCACTTGGGAGGCAAAGGCAGGCAGATCTCTGTGAGTTCGAGGCCAGTCTGGTCTACATAGCGAGTTCCAGGCCAGCTGGGACTTCAGAGAAACCCTGTCTCAAGAAGATTTTTTTTTTTAAAAAAAAAAAAGAGTCACTGTTGGAATTCTGTCCCTAAGAGCTCACAGAGAAAGTAAAATGGCTTAGAGAAGCAGTGGGGTATATACAGTGTCATGGTGATTCCTGTTCCAAAGATAGCAACCTTTGGAACTAGGGTAGGGCTAGTAAAATACTCAGTGGGTAAAGCACTTGCCACAAAACCCTGACAAACTGAGTGCATTCGAACCCATGGAAAGGTAGAAAGAGAGACTCAACGCCACAAAGTTGTCCTCTGACCTCCACATGCAATCGGTGGCACACATGCACCCCCCCCACACACACACATCATACATACAATAATTAAATAAAATAAGCATGAACTGGGCATGGAGGTGATAGCAACCTTTGGAACTAGGGTAGGGCTAGTAAAATACTCAGTGGGTAAAGCACTTGCCACAAAACCCTGACAAACTGAGTGCATTCGAACCCATGGAAAGGTAGAAAGAGACTCAACGCCACAAAGTTGTCCTCTGACCTCCACATGCAATCTGTGGCACACATGCACCCCCCCCCCACACACACACATCATACATACAATAATTAAATAAAATAAGCATGAACTGGGCATGGAGGTGCATGTCTATAATCCTAGTACTTGAGAGGCTTAGGCAGGAGGATTGCTATGGATTAGAGACCGGCCTAGACTACATAGTAAGATGCTGATGCAATTTTTTTTTTTTTCTAAATGCAGATTAAGGAAGGACTTGTTTTTTGTTTTGAGACCAGGTTTCATTATGTAGCTCTGGCTGGTCTGGAACTCGATATATAGACCAGGCTTGAACTGTCCAGAGGATCAGTTCAGTCTCTTTATGTCCCTCCCTGGGGTCCTGCTTATAGATGGGGTGACCTGGCTAGGTACGGTGGTACATACCTATAATCTCAGCTACTTCAGAAGGAGAGGCAGGAACATCAGTGTTTGAGGCCATCCGAATAATTTAGTGAAACTCTGTTTTCAAATTAAAAAAGGACTGAGGATTTTAGCTTAGTGGTAGAATCTTGCCTGGCATGTACAAGTTCTGGCAAGGTCCAGTCCTCAACCCCCCCCCCAAAA